ATTTATACACACGAATGGGGTCAAAAGGAGAGAGTATTGGTTGATGGACGTTGTGCCCAAGCCTCTCGAACAGAGACTCACACTTGTCAGAATCAGGCAGCCGCTGCGACGTGTGCCTCTGTTACCAGGTTCAGCCTCTGAGACAGGTGTCCCCAGAGCTAAGGGGTATCCTGGAGCCCGGTGGAGAGCCCCAGGAGCTGCCGTGTCCCCACCTGGAGGAGCAGAGGGAGTTTCATAACTCCCCTTGTAGTTGCTGTGCGCCAGGACCAGATTCACTTTGAACAGAAGTGCCTGATCCAGCCCAGAGCAGGAGAGACAAGGGAGGAAAGCCTTTGTCCCTTCTGTTGGGCACCCGTGGTGACACCACGGAGATCTGGTCCGTCTTTTCATTTTTGTGGCCTCTACCCGTAGAGCTGGGGACAGGCGGGCTGCAGCCGTCTCCACTCTCAGAAGGAAGGGGACTCGTGCTGGTGTCTGTCAGAAGGCACCTGAGAGACAGTTGCTCTGTTCTCCCTGGTGCCGAGTGACAGGATGAGGGGAAATGGATTTAAATTGCACCAGGGGAGGTTCAGGTTGGATATTGGGAAGAATTTCTGTACTGAAAGGGCTGTCAGCCATTGGCACAGGCTGCCCAGGGAGGGGCTGAGTCACGTCCCTGGAGGGGTTTAAGAGACGAGTGGGTGTTGCACTGGGGAACGTGAGTTAGTGGATTGATGGGGCTGGGACAAAGGCTGGACTCGATGATCTTCAAGGTCTCTTCCAGCTGAAACTCTTCTGTGATTCTAATAAAGCGTGCTGGGAGGGAGTTTATTCTACAGGAGAGCACTTAAATTGCCTCTCCCTCCAATTGATCATAAGCCCCTCTCCAGGCAAAGCACAGCCTCCCTGGCCGCTTGCTGAGCTCCTGGTCCAGCGCTCCCCTCGCTCCCTCCTGCCACTGTCCCCCCAGCCCGCAGCAGGGAGCGCGATCTCCGGGCACGGAGCAGGGAGCCCGGCTCCCGGGGGGCTCACGCGGCTCACGCACCCGCAGGTTTGACCGCATGGGAGCGGGCGGTCCTCTCTTCATCGACGTGACGTGGCACCCTGCGGGAGACCCCGGCTCTGACAAGGAAACCTCCTCCATGATCATCGCCAACACTGCCGTCAACTACTGCGGCCTCGAGACCGTCCTGCACATGACCTGCTGCCACCAGAGCCGCGACGACATCACGGGGCACCTGCAGAAGGGCAAGCGCCTCGGGCTCAAGAACGTCACTTGCGCGGGGGTGAGTGCCCCTGGCCTGGGACGCCCAGGGATGGGGCTGTGCTGCTGCCGTGTGCCATTCCGGGGTAAAAAATCCAAAAATGTGATGTAGACGCTCCTTGCGCTGCAGGAATTAAAAGCCGAGGCTGCGGCACCTTGGTCAGCAGTCCTTCCAGCTCACGGGCAGACAAAAGCAGGGTCAAACTGCGAGTGGGGACTGCTCATCTTGTCTCCCTTCGGGTGGGAGGAGGGTGGAGAGTGACAGGACAAGGGGAAATGGATTTAAATTTCTGCAGGGGAGGTTCAGGTTGGATATTGGGAAGAATTTCTGTACTGAGAGCGCTGTCAGCCATTGGCACAGGCTGCCCAGGGAGGGGCTGAGTCACGTCCCTGAGGGGGTTTAAGAGACGGGTGGATGTTGCATTGGGGGACATAATTTAGTGGGTTGATAGGGCTGGGACGAAGGCTGGACTCGATGATCTTCAAGGTCTCTTCCAGCTGAAACTGTTCTGTGATTCTATGAGGGTTTCACAGCCCAGCCCAGCCAACGGGAGTTTGTTCTCTTTCCAGATCCCATCGGCGAGGAGTGGGAGGAAGAAGAGGACGGCTTCAACTACGCCGTGGACCTGGTGAAGCACATTCGCAACGAATTCGACGATTACTTTGACATCTGCGTGGCAGGTAATTGCCTTTCCTCGCCGGGTTTGGGATGAGGAAGCAGGCTCAGCGGTTCCTCCCTGGACCTGGAGCAGGGTCAGGCTGGCGACTTTCTCAGCACGTGGTCGTGACCACCAGGGTTTCACTTGCTTTTTCTTTCCCCCCCTCTTCCCTCGCTGAGGCTACCCCACGGGTCATCCCGAAGCAGAGAGCTACGAGGCAGACCTGAGGCACCTGAAGGAGAAAGTCTTTGCTGGGGCAGACTTTGTCATTACGCAGCTTTTCTTCCGCTCAGAAACCTTCCTCAAGTTCCTGAAGGACTGCCAAGCCATCGGCATCACCTGCCCCGTCATTCCCGGCATCTTCCCCATACAGGTGAGATGCAGTGACTCTCCTTGGGGAGGGAAGGAAGACGCAGGGTGTCGGGTGTTGGTGGGTCAGGGCCCGACAGAGGTCTGGCAATGGAATTTTGGGGAATTTTAGAGGTGAAAATCTGTAGATGGTTCGCCAAATAATGAGCTCAAAAGGTTTTCTGTGCCCATATGGCAAAAAAGGATATAAAGGACGATGCTTTATCAGTCCTGGGGTGTTCATCATCCCTGCCAGCGTGTTGGGCTCAGGCAAAGAAGAAATCACCCAGCATGCCACGACCAGCGCTGTGTCGCCACCCAAGAGGTGGCAGAATCCAGGGGACCCAATTCTAAATCTCCTGCCCCAAAACGGAGATGAAGCACCTGTCACTGGGGCGTCAGGAAGGGCAGAAGGAAACTCTCCTCCGTCCCCGCGCAGGGTTACCACTCCCTGCGCCAGCTGGTGAAGCTCTCCAAGCTGGAAGTGCCTCAGGAAATCAAGGATGTGATCGAACCCATCAAGGACAACGACGCGGCCATCCGGAGCTACGGGGTGGAGCTGGCCGTGTCCATGTGCCGGGAGCTGCTGGACTCAGGGCTGGTGCACGGGCTCCACTTCTACACCCTCAACCGCGAGGTGGCCACCACCGAGGTCCTGAAGCGCCTGGGCCTCTGGAAGGAGGACCCCAGGTGAGCAGAGATGCTGCCTCCTCTTCCTCCCTCCTCCGCGTCCGCCCCGTCTCCCCAAGGCTCAGGCAGGGGGTGGGTTGGCACCTCTCCTGTGCTGATTTTTAATTCTTTTTAGCACCTTTCTGCATTTACAAGCTCCCCCTTCTCGCAGGTCTCTGGCAAAATCCGGGAGGAATAGAGGGCACGGCTGCAGGAGGAATTTGGTTTAGTTAAATGGCTTTAAAGTACCCCCTTCTGGAGCTGTAAAAACCTAAACTCCTCGAGCTGCCACGTGGAAGAAACACGTTTTTTGAGGCCTGACACAGCCCCTCTGGCAGGCTGGGGGCTACGTAAGCTCCCGCCGTGGATTTCCAGGGTTCTCTGCAGCCAAGTAATTAATGTAAGATCAGTCTCTAAAGTTCAACCAAATCACACTATGATATATTTTCATTTTTTACAACCTGAAAACTCCAAAATGTTTTTTGTTTTATCTCCAAACACGTGGCAAAGCAGAGGCAAGCAGAATTTGCAAACGTTTTAAGGCACGATCTGGCTTTTTTCTGAATCCTCTTTTCCCCGTAACGCCCTCCTTCCCACTGGAGATCGCTGTGACGTGACGCACCGTGTAGCTGCAGGCCTTGCACTGAAAACAAACTGGTTTTTTGTTGCTGTTTTAACCTGAGTAGCTCAAGTTTAACGCTCTCCGTTTGGAAAGGAGCACGTGTGTCCGCGTGCAGCTGTGTTTTCTTCCGGTGCAAAGCAGCTCGGCGCAGTGTTTGCCCTTCCCTTGCCCCACTGCGGGCGTCGGACCTGCCGAGCACCCGGTGGGAACAGATTTCTTTGCAAAGGAAGGAGAGTTTTCTGTCTCTCTGGACAGTAAAGCTCTGCTCAGCCCCTGGTATTTGCCGTCCTCAGAGGCGAAGCTGCCCGGGGGAGGCTCTGAGCCCCCAGGGAAGGGTGGGCAGGGGAATCGAGTGACCGTCTGTTCCCTCCGCAGGCGGCCCCTGCCCTGGGCGGTCAGCGCGCACCCCAAGAGGAGGGTTGAGGACGTTCGGCCGATCTTCTGGGCCTCCAGGCCCAAGAGCTACATCTATCGAACTCAAGAATGGGACGATTTCCCCAACGGCCGATGGTGAGCTGCCAGCCCGCGGCGGGGAGGGAGAGGGGTGGGATGAAGGCCGGTTCCACCGTTGGTCTCTGTTGCTCACGGGTGTCCTGGGCCCGCTCGGGGCTTCTCAACAAAGTGGTCCCCAGGTGCTTGGTGTTGAACGAGAACAGGACTGAGGTCTCGAGGCTTTGGGCCTCTGCGTGGATTCTGTTGGGTGCTTCTCTTCCTGCGTCACCAAAGCAGCTCCTCTTCCTCGGTGCCCTGCTCATCCCGAACCTGCTCCCCTTGCAGGGGTAACTCCTCCTCGCCAGCCTTCGGGGAGCTGAAGGACTATTACCTCTTCTACCTGAAGAGCAAGTCTCCCCGGGAGGAGCTGCTGAAGATGTGGGGAGAGGAGCTGACTGGCGAGGAAAGCGTCTTCGAGGTGTTCACGTGCTACATCAGCGGAGAGCCCAACAGGAACGGGCACAGGGTGAGTGTCGGCCCCGGCGGGGAGGGTCGGCGTGGCGCACACCCTTGGTGCCGCCGTGTTCTGCCCTGGCCCAAGGACTTGCTGACGGCAGCTGAAGGGAATCCCAAGAGCTGCTGCAGCAGGGCAAGACCAGAACCAGGAGACACCAGCAGTCCTTAGACCTGAGGGTGCAGAGGCACAGGATGGCTCAGGCTGGAAGGGACCTTGAAGATCATCTCATCCCACCCCTGCCCTGGGCAGGGACCCCTCTCTCCCCCAGCCCAGGTTGCTCCAAGCCCCGTCCAACCTGGCCTTGGACCCTTGGACCCTCCCAGGTATTGACCACCCACCCCCTCCTCGGGCAGCCTGTGCCAGGGCTTCCCCACCCTCACGGGGAACAATTTCTTCCACATATCTACTCTAAACCTCCTCTCCTGCAGTTTCAGGCCCTTGCCGCTTGTCCTGTCACCACAGGCCCCGTAAAATCCCTTTTCCAGCTCCCTGCAGCCCCTCTCAGGCACTGGCAGGCTGCTATGAGGTTGCCCCGGAGCCTTCTCCCCTTGAACCAAACCTGGGAATTCTGTCCTGAAGCAGATGCTTTTCAGACCCTTGGGGCGCTCTTGACTTCCTTCAGCATCCGGATGGCACCGAAAGGGTCACTACATCCCTCACGAGCCGCCCTTTCTCCTCCCGGCAGGTCACGTGCATGCCTTGGAACGACGACCCCCTTGCCACTGAAACCAACCTCCTGAAGGAGCAGCTGGAGAAGGTGAACAGACGCGGAATCCTGACCATCAACTCCCAGCCCAACATCAACGGCAAACCCTCCACAGACCCCATCGTGGGCTGGGGGCCCAGCGGCGGCTACGTCTTCCAGAAGGTCCCGCGCCGCTCCGAGCTGGGCAGCAGAGAGCTCCCACCAGTTTGGCCCCGGTCAGGCAGGGAGGTGCCGGGCTTTCAGCCAGAGAATCCTTCTGCCTGCTCCTTGTCTTAACGCCTTCTTGCTGAGGCGAGGCAAAGCTCTCTTGGTGTCTTTAAGAGCCAGACGGTGTCATCTCTCTGGCTGACTTCAGAGCTGCCTTCTCCCACCCCAGAACACCTGTTGAACATCTGCAGAGCTTCCTGGGTTTGCACTCAGCAAGTGATTGCTGGTGTCTTCTGGGTAGAGCCGAGCTCTAAAGGTTTAGGTAGAAACTCATGCCTGGCCACTGCATCCGTGCCGCAGGAAGCACCCAGGCTTTTCCTAAGGCGGGAATCGGGTTAGTATCTCTGCTGCCTGCCTTCTCACTGTAATAACTGGGTATTTCAAAATTCCCCTCTCTGTCCTTCTTCAAGGCAGAGCTCCCCACCCATTGCAGCTGCAGGTCCCTT